TGTGCAAGAAAAATCTCACTGGCAGGAAAACCTTTCTGCTGTTTCTGGACAGCAACAAGTCCATGGGTAAACTGAAAGAGCAGTACAAACATAACCTGCAAGGTTATGAGCTAAATGTATTTATAAAAGCATAAGTAAATGGTCATGGAAACCAAAGGCTATAGATGCTCATATTTAAAACATAAGCTTAAGAAGCACAAACTAATTTCAACTTAAAGAGCATAAATACACCATAAGTTGTTCCATGAAATTTCTGAAAAAGTAATAAGGCACTTGCCATTTTACCATCATCCTAGGAAAGAAAATAGTAACAATAATGACTGCTCAGCAGCAAATAGAAAGATCAAAACAAAGCAGGGGATATGTATGTAATATTAAAATTTTAGGTGTTAAATATGTAAATAGAGTAGTATAAGGTGGTATGTATGTAAATCTCCCACTTTATAAAGTTTTCCCCATAAAAATGTTGGGCCGCAAGTTTTATTTTTACGAACATAGATTTCCATTCCATATGGGCATATCATGTAAAACAGGATGGCAGTATTCATACCATTATCATCTGCCAGTAAATGACGCCCTTGTACAGTATTCCGGCATACAAGTTTTTGAGGCAGGCCTACGTCCTTCCTGCAAATCCAAGTGATCAGAAACATTGATAACACGTACAGAATTCAGAAAAAAATGAAGGTCCAGGATTGTTTTCAGAGGAAAGATGAACATATACAATTTGAGTGCTTTTAACTAGCATTAGAAACATTGGTGATAATATGTTTAACCGGCAAATCCAGGCGGCAAAATGAAGTCATTTTCTTTTAACTGATTCACCAGAAATTTCTGAACAGCAGAATAATAAGTCATTTACCCTCTAAAATCAGACGCCAAAGATATTCCGGCAAAAATCATCAACCCATCTTGGAATAGAGTAATCGATGGTTGACCTAAGAGAATTGAGTATAAATTTTCCAGACAAAGTTATCAAATAATACCCTTAACTTACAATTAAGGCTGAATAAACCTTGATAACTTCAACACCGCCATTGTTAGCCCCAAGGCCGGAGGAGAAAGGTAGATGGCTGATGTCAGGTTGATAACTTTATGGTAACGTTCAGGAAATGAATTCAAATTTGAATTTTTATAAAATAAAGGCATTCCCATAATTTATGTGCTACAACTTAACCCAATTTTTTTGTATATGCATGGGAGACGTCGAGCCAACCACTCGATGAACAGTGTCAAAAGAAAGCCAAGAAGACTCTGTATCGATAAATCCTTACCGAATTCCGGCGATTTTGTGGGGAAAACTCAATAAGGTTAGAGCCCAGAGGATCCGGAATAGAACGTCAGGTATAATGAGCACAGGAGATTCTCCCATTTCGGCAATAAGAAGGACTGTTTGGATACAGGATTTATGCAGTCTTTGAGCAAAATTTATGCTACGGTATTTGAGAACATATTAGATCTCACTTCGAAATAAATACTCTGCCTCCTCTTTTTTCCGCAAATCCAGATTTATGAGTTCGGCGGATTTATGGGTTTCGGCCGAAGCAGCGCGAAAAGGGAGAAAGATGGCTGGCCGTCGCTACTTCCGATCCAACAGGAAGAACGGCGAACTGTCGTGCCTTCCGATCCGACAGAGGCGAAGAAGAACTCTACCCCTACCCAACGTGAAAAGCATGCGAATTCAAGAGAAATGGAGCAGAGAAGAAACAACCCTAGAATCATAAGGGGATATTAGTGCGCCTCCTCACAACGGCAGAGAAGAATTTAGTCTAATTAAAAATGTCTAATTACCTATTATTTTTTGTTTAAGAATTAATCTAATGCTCTTAACTTTTAATATGATAATTTCAATTTAAATATAATAATAATTATATTATAATTAAGCGCATAAAAAAAAATTTTAAATTTTATGTTTACTAATTATTTTAATAATAAATAGAAATAAATTAGTTCAATTGAAAACTGTTAAATTACATTTAAAATTAATTAAATAATAAGTCCCAAGTAGAATTTAAAAATAAGAGTTAGTTAAATAATTATTAAATATTAATTAGATTTAATTTCATTTGATTTAGTAACTCAAGCATTAGTAAAACAACACCTAAATAATTAAAGAGATAATTAGTATTGTAATTTAGTAATTTAAAATCATTAATTATTATTGAACGACAGTTAGTTTTTAATTATCATTCTTTATAGTATAGCTTATCGATTTATTTAAATTCAGATATAAAGAACTGTATTTAAAACGGTATAGAAAGTAAATTAATATTAAGTTATTGTAAAGGATTTTTTTATTTTATTTTATTTAATTGTAATTTATTAGCTTAAGTTAAAATTATAGAAAGTATTCATTCTTTAAAAAAACAACTTAAATAATTTCTTATGAACTCAATGATAAATAACATTGCACTTAAATTAATAAAAAATATATAATTTTGTGTATTGATATTCATAAGAACATTAGTTTTGATAGACTACTTAGGTTTAATTAACTTAATGCAAATTATAATCCAAAAAAATATTACGAATGTAGCAGGTAAAGTTAATAACTTTTATATTATTTTAATTTTTAATAATTTAAAGTAAAATAATTATGCATAGCAGTAATTTTTATTTTTTCCGTCCCATGTCACTAATGATGAAATTTATGAGTCTTATATTGTAGACGCATATTGTGATAATATAGTTGAAGTTGAGGAAAGTTGCACTGGATTAGATCACGTCGGCCTGTCTGACACTAGTTTTAGCGTGAGTGGGCAAATTTAATCAATTTAAACATCTAATAATATATTTGTACATTCCTAATTAAAAATTAATAATCGATTATCAGTAATTATATTAATTTAATAATGTAAATCTTTTTTTTATAAAATAAAATAGACTAATTAAAGTATTTGCAAAACTCGTATAAATCTTATCGTACGAAAAATCGTTTGTATCTTTGACATATTCTATCTTTCGGATATTATTTTTGGTATGTTATATCACTTTTGCTTATTATCTTCCGAATATTCCGCTTCGGATTTATTGAAATCCTGTTTCTAACATATATAAGATTGAGTTACAATATCTATTTCTATAATTCGGCTCAATAATTTCTATCTTGAACATGCTTGATTGTAAACAGATTTCTATTCGTTGAAAGACTTAAGTCGCTATTTATTTACTTTCTTTCTTCTTGCTTTTCTTTGAGTTTATTTAAATTCCATTATTATTGATTTATAAGATATTTTTTTTTGTATAGAAAGAGAATAAAAATTAAGGTTTTTATATTAATTAATTAGTTTAATTAAAGTACCACTCATGTTACTGTGTTATATTATCCACTGAATGTCGACAATCATTGAATGTCTTTAATTAATAGTGCATATGATATTATCTCTTCAATTTGTTAACGAATTGGACATTTTACCATATACACATATTATAATTATTATTTTCCTGTTGGTTTTGCCAAAGTGAAAAATTTTGAAATATAAACAGAGAATCCCTTCCTGTATCCGTGTTTATCTCAAACTTCAAAATTCATTAAGCGGCATTCCTCTCTCCCCAAACGTCCTTTCGCTCCGTTTTTAACCACAGAATCTTGTTATGAACGTTATTTAGATTCTGCATTTTGGAATTGATTTACTCAAAAATTTTGGGTCTGTGTTGCAATCATTTTTTCAAAACAGTAAAATGTCAATGTTTAGAAAAATTTAATTATCGTATTGCACAGCATTCGAAATTACAATACAAACTTATCCCGCTCCACGGTTTAAGCTCTGGGTTTGCATGACTGATTATCTTTAGGTTT